AATCGTGAAATCTTTATGGAAAAAAAATGTGAAACAACAACGTAAAAACCTAAATAAATAAAATATTAAAAGTTTCATAGTTTTTAGTCAAAACGTTGCAATAATATTTTTGCTAAAATCTTACACACATTTTACGTAGTTTTATTGTATGTTTTGTATTTCTTCTTTTGTCACTTTATGTTTCTATTACAATTTCTGTTACTTTTAATTTAATTGCCTCTATTGCCAACTGTAAAGTTATTACTTTCCGTTATTTTAATTTGTTTCGTATTGCAGTTAACAATTAAATTTTGGTCAGAAGCCAGCTAAAATAAAAATGAAAGTGAGTGTCTGGTAAAAGGCGTTATTTCCGTTTATAACAGCTGTTATTTGTTAAACAGTGGAATGAACTCATTTATTTATATTGTATAAAATTGCAATATTTAATAAGAATCATTTATTTTCTTGAAAAAAAAGCAATTTAATTTATTTTACAACCAGACCTACTTTGTTTACTTTAATGTAGTCATCTGTTAAAGTCCATATTATTAGATTAACATTTACCATACATACATATGCATGTATGTATGCATGTGTTACATTGGTGACTTTGGGGATGGGTTATCTTAAGGATTCTCTGCCAACTAATCAGCTGTCAGTTTATATTAGAAAATATTGCGTAAATAAACATGACATCTCATAAGGACAAAAATAAATCTACCTGTTTATCCAACAGTGAGAGCAAATAATAAATGGACATAAGTAAAAGACTAATCCAAAGAAAAATCTAAGCAATAATCTTGGCTACAGCTCATGATATCACTAGTCTAGTCTAAAGTCTAGTCTATAATATAATCTATAGTATAATCTATAATATAGTCTAGTCTAACTTCTAGTATATAGTCTAGTCTATAGTCTAGTCTATGTACTGTAGTCTAGTCTGTAGTATAGTCTATAGTCTATAATCAAGTGTGTAGTCTAGTCTATAATCTAGTATATAGTCTAGTCTATAGTCTAGTCTATAGGTCAGTCTACAGTCTAGTCTAGTCTATATTCTATAGTCTAGTCTAGTCTATAGCCTATTCTATAGTCTATTCTATAGTCTATTCTATAGTCTATTCTATAGTCTATTCTATAGTCTATTCTATAGTCTAGTCTATAGTCTAGTCTAGTCTATTGTCTAGTCTATTGTCTAGTCTATAGTCTAGTCTATAGTCTAGTCTATAGTCTACTCTAGTCTATAGTTTAGTCTATAGTCTAGTCTATAGTCTAGTCTATAGTCTAGTCTATAGTCTAGTCTATAGTATAGTCTATAGTCTAGTCTATAGTCTAGTCTATAGTCTAGTCTATAGTCCAATCTATAGTCTAGTCTATAGTCTAGTCTATAATCTAGTCTATAGTCTAGTCTATAGTCTAGTCTATAGTCCAATCTATAGTCTAGTCTATAGTCTAGTCTATAGTCTAGTCTATAGTCTAGTCTATAGTCTATAGTCTAGTCTATAGTCTAGTCTATAGTCTAGTCTATAGTTTAGTCTATAGTCTAGTCTATAGTCTAGTCTATAGTGTAGTCTATAGTCTAGTCTATAGTCTAGTCTATAGTCTAGTTTATAGTCTAGTCTATAGTCTAGTCTATAGTCTAGTCTATAGTCTAGTCTATAGTCTAGTCTATAGTCTAGTCTATAGTCTAGTCTATAGTCTAGTCTATAGTCTGGTCTATAGTCTAGTCTATGTCTAGTCTATAGTCTAGTCTATAGTCTAGTCTATAGTCTAGTCTATAGTCTAGTCTATAGTCTAGTCTATAGTCTAGTCTATAGTCTAGTCTGTAGTCTAGTCTATAGTCTAGTCTATAGTCTAGTCTATAGTCTAGTCTATAGTCTAGTCTATAGTCTAGTCTATAGTCTAGTCTATAGTCTAGTCTATAGTCTAGTCTATAGTCTAGTCTATAGTCTAGTCTATAGTCTAGTCTATCTATAGTCTATAGTCTAGTCTATAGTCTAGTCTATAGTCTAGTCTATAGTCTAGTCTTAGTCTAGTCTATAGTCTAGTCCATAGTCTAGTCTATAGTCTAGTCTATAGTCTAGTCTATAGTCTAGTCTATAGTCTAGTCTATAGTCTAGTCTATAGTCTAGTCTATAGTCTAGTCCATAGTCTAGTCTATAGTCTAGTCTATAGTCTAGTCTATAGTCTAGTCATAGTCTAGTCTATAGTCTAGTCTATAGTCTAGTCTATAGTCTAGTCTATAGTCTAGTCATATCTAGTCTATAGTCTAGTCTATAGTCTAGTCTATAGTCTAGTCTATAGTCTAGTCTATAGTCTAGTCTATAGTCTAGTCTATAGTCTAGTCTATAGTCTAGTCTATAGTCTAGTCTATAGTCTAGTCTATAGTCTAGTCTATAGTCTAGTCATAGTCTAGTCTATAGTCTAGTCTATAGTCTAGTCTATAGTTTAGTATATAGTCTAGTCTATAGTCTAGTCTATAGTCTAGTCTATAGTCTAGTCTATAGTCTAGTCTATAGTCTAGTCTATAGTCTAGTCTATAGTCTAGTCTATAGTCTAGTCTATAGTCTAGTCAATAGTCTAGTCTATAGTCTAGTCTATAGTCTAGTCTATAGTCTAGTCTATAGTCTAGTCTATAGTCTAGTCTATAGTCTAGTCTATAGTCTAGTCTATAGTCTAGTCTATAGTCTAGTCTATAGTCTAGTCTATAGTCTAGTCTATAGTCTAGTCTATAGTCTAGTCTATAGTCTAGTCTATAGTCTAGTCTATAGTCTAGTCTATAGTCTAGTCTATAGTCTAGTCTATAGTCTAGTCATAGTCTAGTATATAGTCTAGTATATAGTCTAGTCTATAGTCTAGTCTATATCTAGTCTATAGTCTAGTATATAGTCTAGTCTATTCTAGTCTATAGTCTAGTCTATAGTCTAGTCTATAGTCTAGTCTATAGTCTAGTCTATAGTCTAGTCTATTCTAGTCTATAGTCTAGTCTATAGTCTAGTCTATAGTCTAGTCTATAGTCTAGTCTATAGTCTAGTCTATAGTCTAGTCTATAGTCTAGTCTATAGTCTAGTCTATAGTCTAGTCTATAGTCTAGCCTATAGTCTAGTCTATAGTCTAGTCTATAGTCTAGTCTATAGTCTAGTCTTAGTCTAGTCTATAGTCTAGTCTATAGTCTAGTCTATAGTCTAGTCTATAGTCTAGTCTATAGTCTAGTCTATAGTCTAGTCTATAGTCTAGTCTATAGTCTAGTCTATAGTCTAGTCTATAGTCTAGTCTATAGTCTAGTCTATAGTCTAGTCTATAGTCTAGTCTATAGTCTAGTCTATAGTCTAGTCTATAGTCTAGTCTATAGTCTAGTCTATAGTCTAGTCTATAGTCTAGTCTATAGTCTAGTCTATAGTCTAGTCTATAGTCTAGTCTATAGTCTAGTCTATAGTCTAGTCTATAGTCTAGTCTATAGTCTAGTCTATAGTCTAGTCTATAGTCTAGTCTATAGTCTAGTCTATAGTCTAGTCTATAGTCTAGTCTATAGTCTAGTAGTCTATCTAGTCTATAGTCTAGTCTATAGTCTAGTCTATAGTCTAGTCTATAGTCTAGTCTATAGTCTAGTCTATAGTCTAGTCTATAGTCTAGTCTATAGTCTAGTCTATAGTCTAGTCTATAGTCTAGTCTATAGTCTAGTCTATAGTCTAGTCTATAGTCTCTATAGTCTAGTCTATAGTCTAGTCTATAGTCTAGTCTATAGTCTAGTCTAGTCTATAGTCTAGTCTATAGTCTAGTCTATAGTCTAGTCTATAGTCTACTCTATAGTCTAGTCTATAGTCTAGTCTACAGTCTAGTCTATAGTCTAGTCTATAGTCTAGTCTATAGTCTAGTCTATAGTCTAGTCTATAGTCTAGTCTATAGTCTAGTCTATAGTCTAGTCTATAGTCTAGTCATAGTCTAGTCTATAGTCTAGTCTATAGCCTAGTCTATAGCCTAGTCTATAGTCTAGTCTATAGTCTAGTCTATAGTCTAGTCTATAGTCTAGTCTATAGTCTAGTCTATAGTCTAGTCTATAGTCTAGTCTATAGTCTAGTCTATAGTCTAGTCTATAGTCTAGCCTATAGTCTAGTCTATAGTCTAGTCTATAGTCTAGTCATAGTCTAGTCTATAGTCTAGTCTATAGTCTAGTCTATAGTCTAGTCTATAGTCTAGTCTATAGTCTAGTCTATAGTCTAGTCTATAGTCTAGTCTATAGTCTAGTCTATAGTCTAGTCTATAGTCTAGGCTATAGTCTAGTCTATAGTCTAGGCTATAGTCTAGTCTATAGTCTAGTGTATAGTCTAGTCTATAGTCTAGTCTATAGTCTAGTCTATAGTCTAGTCTATAGTCTAGTCTATAGTCTAGTCTATAGGCTAGTCTATAGTCTAGTCTATAGTCTAGTCTATAGTCTAGTCTATAGTCTAGTCTATAGTCTAGTCTATAGTCTAGTCTAAAGTCTAGTCTATAGTCTAGTCTATAGTCTAGTCTATAGTCTAGTCTATAGTCTAGTCTATAGTCTAGTCTATAGTCTAGTCTATAGTCTAGTTAGTCTATGTCTAGTCTATAGTCTAGTCTATAGTCTATTCTATAGTCTAGTCTATAGTCTAGTCTATAGTCTAGTCTATAGTCTAGTCTATAGTATAGTCTATAGTCTAGTCTATGGTCTAGTCGATAGTCTAGTCCAGAATATAGTCCTGAGTATAGTCTACTCTGTAGTCCAGAATATAGTCCTGAGTACAGTCCACTCAATACTTGAGGTCCGTTGACATAAATTTTTAACCAACAATAACATTTTGAAAACGTCTTTTGTCCTTTAACTTTCCTAACACACTGTGTATAAGAAAATCACAATCAATGCGCCTGACCGCCGATGTTGCCAAGTATAGCCAAATACCTGCGGTATTAACATAAAACAACAAATATACCGAAAATTAATGAACCAGGCCAACTCTACAAATTTACCACCTTTGCTAACAGGTTCTATAGACAATTTAAACTAAATGGAGGCTGTAATTACAAATAGTGTCTTGTAGAATAAGGTTCTTATTTGGAAATTAGGACACCGTTTTTTGTAATTTTTCCTAACAATATGGCCATTATAATAAGTTACGTCTTTGGTGTATTTTGGGTTTAATTCTATCGCTTTATGCCACATATGTTGAAATTAAATTGCTGGTCAATAAGGACTATAAGGCCTTGTGCGATTTGGCACCGAAGTTAAGTTGTACGGCTGTTTTTAATTCGCAGTAAGTTGAAAAAGGAATTGAATTTTTTGAGTTTGATTTATAAATTTTGTTCTTTGGACTTGGATGTATGTACAGATATGGCAAAAGTTTTGGTTTTCTAAATATGTTTTTTGATGAAAAGACCTCTAAATGGAATCCACCTAATGGTATTTTTGGAATCATTTATTATTCTGTGTTATTGGCAACAAGTAAGTCTGAAATTTTGTAATAAAAATTTGAAATATTTTTTTTAACTACTTAATTCCTCTTCCAGCTTTTCTCAAGCGCCCTCAACTTTTGAAATATCAAATAGTATTCTGTGTTTTATCTAATATAATGTCTTTATATCTGGCATATTTACTATATATTTTAGAAAATATTTGTGTTGTGTGTGTTACGATTTATGTGGTAAACTTTTTATGTCTTTGGGAAATGTTGAAAGATTTCAATAACTTATGGTTGCAAAATCGTTCAAAAAACACAAAATTTGAAAGTAACAAAAAGGAATAAAATTCCTCTTAAAATTAAAATTTGCTTTTATTGCTTTTTTTTTAATAAATAAAATTTCTTAAGAAAAACCTAATTGAACTCTTGTTTTGGGAATTTTTAATTTGCTTTTAAAAAATCAAAAAACTCATGTCATGATTTTGTTATTGTTGCTATTTTGTTTAAAATCAATTGTTAATCTAAAATGTAATTTTATATTATGTGATAATTATCATATAATTTGTTAACAATAAACATTTCAATAAGTAACACTAACAAAGTAACGAAAAAAAAAATTGGAAAAAAACTGAAATAAATTTAATATTTTTTACCCACAGATGGGTAACAAAATTAAACAATGAGTGAACCACCATCACCAACACCAAATGAACAAACCACATCAGCATGATCATTATCATCATCATCATCCATTTCAGCACATTAAACAACGTAAAAGTAAAACACTCGAACACTTTAAATTCAAATAATGTCAAAACAGTGACAAACAACGTTTCTAAAGACGACTTACTAAACAAGCTGTATTTATGATATCGTAATACACTCGCAAAATTTTGGGGATAATAGTACAGTATGAACTATAGATTATACCTTAGAACAGACTATAGCCTAGACTGTAGTCTAAACATAGACTATACTATAGACTAACTATAGACAAGACTACAAACTTGACCAAAGACTTGACTAAAGACTAGACTATAGACTATATACTAAACTATAGACTAGACTATAGACTAGAAAGACTAGACTATAGACTAGACTATAGACTAGACTATAGACTAGACTATAGACTAGACTATAGACTAGACTATGACTATAGACTAGACTATAGACTAGACTATAGACTAGACTATAGACTAGACTATAGACTAGACTATAGACTAGACTATAGACTAGACTATAGACTAGACTATAGACTAGACTATAGACTAGACTATAGACTAGACTATAGACTAGACTATAGACTAGACTATAGACTAGACTATAGACTAGACTATAGACTAGACTATAGACTAGACTATAGACTAGACTATAGACTAGACTATAGACTAGACTATAGACTAGACTATAGACTAGACTATAGACTAGACTATAGACTAGACTATAGACTAGACTATAGACTAGACTATAGACTAGACTATAGACTAGACTATAGACTAGACTATAGACTAGACTATAGACTAGACTATAGACTAGACTATAGACTAGACTATAGACTAGACTATAGACTAGACTATAGACTAGACTATAGACTAGACTATAGACTAGACTATAGACTAGACTATAGACTAGACTAGACTATAGACTAGACTATAGACTAGACTATAGACTAGACTATAGACTAAGACTATAGACTAGACTATAGACTAGACTATAGACTAGACTATAGACTAAGACTATAGACTAGACGATAGACTAAAGTATAGACTGCACTAAAGAGTAAACATTAGAATATAGACTAGACTGTAGACTAAAGTAAAGACTAGACTGTAGACTAGACTATAGACTACACAACAGACTAGACTATAGACAGACTGTAGACTAGACTATAGACTAGACTATAGACTAGACTGTAGACTAGACTGTAGACTAGACTATAGACTAACTAATACTAGACTATAACTACTAAGACTAGACTATAGACTAGACTATAGACTAGACTATAGACTAGACTATAGACTAGACTATAGACTAACTATAGACTAGACTATAGACTAGACTATAGACTAGACTATAGACTAGACTATAGACTAGACTATAGACTAGACTATAGACTAGACTATAGACTAGACTATAGACTAGACTATAGACTAGACTATAGACTAGACTATAGACTAGACTATAGACTAGACTATAGACTAGACTATAGACTAGACTATAGACTAGATATAGACTAGACTATAGACTAGACTATAGACTAGACTATAGACTAGACTATAGACTAGACTATAGACTAGACTATAGACTAGACTAAACTATAGACTAGACTATAGATTAGACTAGTCTATAGTCTAGTCTATAGTCTATACTGTGTAATTTTTAGTCCTGGGTGATATTGTTAAAAACATAGTAACAATTTTGAGTGTATCATATGAATCTATCTTAAGTGAATAAAGAAGAATATCCTCATGTGTCTAGTCAGAAAAGGTAATAGAAATACCCGCTCATCAATTCAACCGTAAAAACAGTATTGTAAATGAAAACGAAAAAAAAAAAAAAACAAATACAAAACAAGACCAGAAAAGAAATAAAAAAAAAAAAATACTTAAGAGATGTTACCTTTAGTCACTAATAACATGTGGCAATATGTTTTTTTTTAAATTTAAAGATAGTTGTTCGAATGACTGAGCATCATCCAGACGCTTAGATGGATGGATGAATAGATGATTTCATGTTTGTCTGGGTTGATGGTTTCTTCTTGCGGTAGTCTTTCAAATAGTGGATTTTTAATATTTGTGTTTTTAGCATTAGTTCGATTTTTGCCTTAATGTTGTTCGTTTTTTTTTTCTATTCATACTTTTAAGATTTAATTTATGAGATCACGAATTACAGTGACAATTTACATAAAAATAAATTTAACAAATTTCCTAAGCTTTACTAAATACGATATATAACGTTTGAAATGAATATTTTGTTGGGAGTTTGTTCGTTAGATGATGTTTATTATTAGAAACTCCAGACACATTTTGAAACTCAAAAGGAGTATTGTCAAGAAAATAGCAAAATCACTGCAACACGTTTAAAAGGGTGAAAAACTTTAATATAAATTTCGCTTAATTTGCTTACGAAAAATAGATCTATATGATTTACAATTATTATTTACAAGTGATACGTGTTGCTTCACGTACAAGACGTATGTGATGGGAATATATTATTACGAGGATATTGCTGCGAAAGCAGAATCGAAAGTTTGTTCTCAGTCAATCGAATCTATCGGATAATAGTGAATAGTAAAGATCTTTAAGGTCTAGTGCAGAGTTCTGACTATAGATCGGAACATAGTCCATACTACAGTCTTTAGCTCTTACTATAGTCCAGAGTATGATCCAGACTAAAGTGCAGACTATTGTCCAAGTGCAGACTATAGTGGAGACTACAGTCCAGACTACAGTCCTGACTATAGTTCAGAATATAGTTCGGCTATAATCATTTTCCGACTACTCTCGTAACTTAAAGATTGTCATATGTTAAAGATGATAATGATTCCGATCATACAATGTCTTCGCTTATGATACTTTGTTGTAAATTTTGAAAGTCTTTAAAGCGATTTTGTATTATGGATTTCAGTGTAAATCATAAATAATAATTATGAAATTATAACCTTGAGTTAGTTAAATTAACAAAATCATAATAAATAAATTATTAAACAAACAAGTAAAAGTCTATATGCTCTCGGGGTTACACAATACAAACAGCAGGCGATAAAACGTTAAGAACAAAAATAAATGGGACATTTGTATAATGTCAGTTTAAAGCAAATTTGCTTTAAATTACATATAATTTATGGGTAAATTTTTGGTTTAAATAGATAAATAGATAGATAGATAGATAGATAGATAGATAGATAGATAGATAGATAGATAACATAAATAGAGTGATTGATAGATAGATAGATAGATAGATAGATAGATAGATTAGAGAGATAGAGAGATAGATAGAGGAGAGAGATAGAGAGATAGATAGACGGCTAGCTAGTAGCTCGCTCAGCCGATCTAGCTCCTCGCTCTCGCTCGCTCGCTCGCTCGCCGCTCGTCGCTGCTCTCGCTCGCTCGCTCGCTCGCTCGCTCGCTCGCTCGCTCGCTCTCGCTCGCTCGCTCGCTCGCTCGCTCGCTCGCTCGCTCGCTCGCTCTCTCGCTCGCTCGCTCGCTCGCTCTCTCGCTCGCTCTCTCGCTCGCTCTCGCTCGCTCGCTCGCTCGCTCGCTCGCTCGCTCGCTCGCTGCTCGCTCGCTCGCTCGCTCGCTCGCTCGCTCGCTCGCTCGCTCGCTCGCTCGCTCGCTCGCTCGCGCTCGCTCGCTCGCTCGCTCGCTCGCTCGCTCGCTCGCTCGCTCGCTCGCTCGCTCGCTCGCTCGCTCGCTCGCTCGCTCGCTCGCTCGCTCGCTCGCTCGCTCGCTCGCTCGCTCGCTCGCTCGCTCGCTCGCTCGCTCGCTCTCTCTCTCGCTCGCTCGCTCGCTCGCTCGCTCGCTCGCTGCTCGCTCCTCGCTCGCTCGCTCGCTCGCTCTCTCGCTCGCTCGCTCGCTCGCTCGCTCGCTCGCTCGCTCGCTCGCTCGCTCGCTCGCTCGCTCGCTCGCTCGCTCGCTCAGCTCGCTCGCTCGCTCGCTCGCTCGCTCGCTCGCTCGCTCGCTCGCATCGCTCGCTCGCTCGCTCGCTAGCTCGCTCGCTCGTCTCGCTAGCTAGCTCGTCGCTCCGCTCGATCGCTCGCTCGATCGCTCGCTCGCATCGCTCGCTCGCCTCGCTCGCTCGCTCGCTCGCCTCGCTCGCTCGCTCGCTCGCTCGCTCGCTCGCTCGCTCGCATCGCGCGCTCGCTCGCTCGCTCGCTCTCTCGCTCGCTCGCTCGCTCGCTCAGCTCGCTAGCTCGCTCGCCTCTCGCTCGCTCGCTCGCTCGCTCGCTCGCTCGCTCGCTCGCTCGCTCGCTCGCTCGCATCGCTCGCTCGCTCGCTCGCTCGCGCTCGCTCGCTCGCTCGCTCGCTCCTGCTCCTGGCAGCTCGCTAGCCTCGCTACGCTCAGCTCGCTCGTTCTCGCTCGCTTCGCTCGCTCGCTACGCTCGCTCGCTCGCTCGCTCGCTCGCTCGCTCGCTCGCTCGCTCGCTCGCTCGCTCGCTCGCTGCTGCTCGCTCGCTCGCTCGCCTAGCTCGCTCGCTAGCTCATAATTAGATAGAAGATAGTAAAAGAACTATCACTATATAAGCCGATGCTGGAGCGTAGCGAGATTCTTCCTAGTATTGAGGATAAGTAGAACTAGTGTTTCCTCTGCATAGAGGAAAAATATAGTTGTATAGAGGATGCGCG